GTCCCGGAGTCAGGCGGACTCCACCCAGAAGCCAGGAGGCTGTGTATGTGTTGGAGGCTGGAAGGCCTAGAGAGGCTGAGAGAGCCAGGCACCCAAGGTGTATGGGTGTGAAATCAAAGGCTGCTGAAAGCTGCTCAAAGTGCCCAGTGTATTCCCGAAGAGATCCTGTTGAGGAAAACAGTAAGGTCCTGGGACTGGGACACTGAACAGGATAACCTGTGAAGGGTGAGCATTGGTGAGCCCATATCTGGTATATGCTGCAGCAAGCTATTTATGTGGGACTTCCTTTACTGTCTGCCTTTTGAACAGAAAATAAAGATGTTTTGTTAATGGAAAAGCCTGTGCGAGTGCTCTGTGAGCTCCCCAATATCACAACGCACATGACCTTTAATGGCATCCTTGTCTCAGTCCGTAGGGTTCAGTATTGGGTTGGCTCCGCCCTTTGCCTCTATAACAGCTTCAACTCTTCTGGGAAGGCGTCCACAAGGTTTAGGAGTGTGTCTATGGGAATGTTGGACCATTTGTGAGGTCAGGTACTGATGTTGGAGGAGAAGGCCGGGCTCGCAGTCTCCGCTCTAATTCATCCCAAAGGTGTTCTATCGGGTTGGGGGGTCAGGACTCTGTGCATCGCGGAATATTTAGTAGCCAGGAAATGTCACGGAACACCTGAATCCAATGATTTGGGGGGGGAGGGGCTCAATACTTTTGGCAATAAAGTGTAGGTATTAATGGCGCCATGTTTTGCACATAGGGGGGCCTTGTTTTGCAGTACATGATGATTATTAATGATGGTATATTTGCAGGGAGTCGGGCCCACGTACTTCTCTCGCTCAGTCAGCAGGATGGGATAGAACAACACATGGATTTTGAGTCTCGCTACATGTTGTTGCAGCTCTTTGCTGAGACCACCAGCTCAGAAGAACATTGTATCTCCTTTGAAGGGATACACCTCCCTCAGGTAAGTGCTACAGATGTCCAACTATCCGGCTAGATGGATACAAAGTGGGAGGGGGCTCTTGTGTTTGGTTTGGCGTCTATATAGTATTGCCATTTGTGGTGGTTCTTTATTTGTGGCAGATTCCGGGGAAGCAGCTCTTCTCGTTGGTGAAACGTTACTTGTGCGTGACATCTCTGCTGGACCAGCTGAGCAGCGACCGGCCAGATCGCAGTGAGACGTTCCGTCTGCAGCGCCACTTTGATTTCAGCATGGCCATGGGCAGCCTGATCTGCGAGCTGGTGCGGGTGATGGGCTGGGTGAGTGACGAATCTTTGGAGGAAGAAGGTTCCCCAGACAGGGAGCGACCTTCTCGGGTCATTCGTTCCATCTTCCAGCCTAAAGTGCCGCCCTGCACAAGCTTCCAGGTGATCTCCAGCTCTCCGAAACGTGCCATTGCCCCCAAGAGGAAACCGGCGAAGCCGTTCCTGGAGCCGTCTGACTTTGCCACACGAAATGCTTATGTTGATTATGTCCAGGAGTACTTGAAACCGGGGATGTCTGTGCGGATGTTGGAGGACTATGATGAGATCAGTTCTGGAGATGAGGGTGTGTTCCGCCAGAGTAATAATGGAATGCCGCCCGTTCAGGTGAGGAACTGCACAGAAGGGTGGACACACTGTGTAATGGATAGGTGGGATTTCTGGTGGAGGGGGAAAAGGACCTCACTAGAAGGATGGGGGCACACTGTGTCCAGGAATACTTGGTTGGACTTCTGGTGGAGAGTGAAAAGGACCTCATTAGATAGTGGGGGGCAAACTGTGTCCAGGAGTACTTGGTTGGCTTTCTGGTGGAGGGGGAAAAGGACCTCATTAGGAGGGGTCACACTAAGCAATGGATAGGTGGGACTTCTGGTGGACTGTGAAAAGGTCTTCCTTAGGTGGGGTCATACTAAGTAATGGATAGGTGGGACTTCTGGTGGACTGTGAAAAGGTCTTCCTTAGGTGGGGTCATACTAAGCAATGGATAGGTGGGGCTTCTGGTGGACTGTGAAAAGGACCTCACTAGATAGTGAGGGGCACACTGTGTCCAGGAGTACTTGGGGTGGACTTTTGGTGGAGGATGAAAAGGGCCTCATTAGGTGGGATCACACTAAGTAATGGATAGGTGGGACTTCAGGTGGGACTTCAGGTTGGATTTCTGGTGGAGGGGGAAAAGGACCTCATTAGAAGGAGGGGGGCACACTGTGTATTGGGTAGGTGGGACTTCTGGTGGAGAGTGAAGAGGACCTCAGTAGACATGGCTGTGTTGGGCAATATACTGATCCCCCCGACGTTACTGCATCTAGGTGGCACCTATAATGGACAACCTTCTTATAGCCAGTGACAGTAGAGCAATTAGAGTTATGTACAGTTAAGTCTACTGAAGGTTCGTTGGGATACCAGACATAATCTGTATGAGGTGACCAAAGTTTATCCTTAACCCCTTCATGACCAGATAGCATTGAGGCCTAGATGCCCAGACCTAATTTGGTAGCATCCGTATGTGTCAGTCAATGTAACAATGATTTGCCCGCCTTATTAATTTCTACATTCCTCTTAAAGCCTTTCTATTTCCAAACATGTCATATATTGCAGCCTACTAGTCTTCAGATGTGGCAGCTGGATTCGTTTTCTATTTTCAGCCTTCTTTTCCTTTGCTTCCACCTAATGATCCTGCCAGTAACACACTTCCTGTCCTAGGGTGACAACGCTCACATACTGCACTGTATCTATGGAGGAGCAGTGTTGCTACCTTAGGATAGGACACCTCACCTCCCCTCCATCTAGGACAGGAATACAGAACACACTCCTCTACTATTCTCCATCTAAGACAGGGGTATAGAACACCTCCCGCGCCCGTCTAGAACAGAACTACAGAACAGCTTCCGTTTCCTTCTCTAATTAGGACAGGGCTACTGAACACCCCCTTTCCCATTCCATCTATAACATCGGAGAAGGTGTTCTGTAGTCCTCAAAGGTGAGATGGCAGGGCTTATAACACTGCCCATTGGGATTTCCATAGGAAGTTATTGGCTCACTAGAATTCAGACGGATCAGCCAAGTATTTTTTTGCACCTAACAAAGCAAAATTCTACCCGTGGTATAGCTAACAGATCAAAAGGGAGCAAAAAAAGAGAAGTTCCTTGTTCGGGTTTATATTTGATTCAGCAGCTGAAAGTCTGTGTGAAGCTGAAACCTTTTTTATTTCTGTCAGTGTTTGTTGTTGCAGAGTTCCCCCCACTTCCTGTCCTGTACATTGTTGTCAGCTGGGCAGGAAGTGGTTGAGGACCTCTCCAAGGAATAGCAGTAAAAACAAGATGGGGTCCTAGCCCATTCCCAGCTATGTCCAAAACGAAGAAAATCAAGTGTTTGGCTTGGCAATGTTCCAATAATGATCTAGCGGTGTAGCTCTGGTACAGGTGACGGTACCTGCTGATGGAATAACATTAATTTACCTTGTGATGCCCAATGATTTCCAGAAATCGGGATACTGTTGTCTGTAATATCATCATTGTGATCCTCTTGCATAGAAGGAGATTGTAGTATAATGTTGGTGATGAAGGAAGGTATAATGTCAGAGTCATAAATCCTTGTACAGGATTGTATGTCAGGTGTGTGTTGGTTGTGTCTGAGGCTGAGCTATGGCTGGACATAGACCTTGGAGGGTCAGGTACACACGAAATGTTGAGGGATGTTCCTGTCTGTGTACAGGACTGTATGTCAGGTGTGTGTTGGTTGTGTCTCAGGCTGAGCTATGGCTGGACATAGACCTTGGAGGTTCAGGCATAATCTAACTGTTTAGGGATGTTCCTGCCTGTGCGCAGGGCTGTATGTTATGTGTGTGTTGGTTGTGTCTCGGGCTGAGCGATGGTTGGACGTAGACCTTGAAGGATGGATGGAGGTTCTGACATAACCGCAATGTTGAGGGATGTTGCTCTCTGTGTACAGGACTGTATATCAGGTGTTCGTTGGTGTTCTGAGGCTGAGGTATGTTTGGACATGGACCTTAGAGGATGGATGAAGGTTCAGTCATAGTCCAACTGTTGAGGAATGTTCCCGAGTGTGTACGGGAACCTATGTCCGGTCTTTATGGTTGGATATAGACCTTGATGGATGGAGGGTCCGGCATAATCAAAAAGTTGAGGGATGTTGCTCTCTGTGTACAGGACTGTATGTTATGTGTTTGTTGGTTGTGTCTCAGGCTGAGCTAAGGTTGGAAATGAACCTTAGAGGATGGAGGAACCTTCAGGCATAATCCAACTGTTGATGGATGTCACTGCCTGTGTACAGGACTGTATGTTATGTGTGTGTTGGTTGTGTCTCAGGCTGAGCGATGGTTGAACGTAGACCTTGGAGGATGGATGGAGGTTCTGGCATAACCTCAATGTAGATAGATGCTCCTGCGTGTGTACAGGACTGTATGTCAGGTGTGTGTTGGTTGTGTCTCAGGCTAAGCAATGGTTGGACATAGACCTTAGAGGATGGAAGAACGTTGAGTCATAATCCAACTGTTGAGGGATGTTCCTGCCTGTGTGCAGGACTGTATGTTATGTGTGTGTTGGTTGTGTCTCAGGCTGAGCGATGGTTGAATGTAGACCTTGGAGGATGGATGGAGGTTCTGGCATAACCGCAATGTTGATAGATGTTCCTGCGTGTGTACAGGACTGTATGTCAGGTGTGTTGGTTGTGTCTCGGGCTGAGCGATGGTTGCACATAAACCTTGAAGGATGGATGCAGGCATAATCAATATGTTGAGGGATGTTCCTGCGTGTTTACAGGACTGCATGTTATGTGTTTCTTGGTTGGCTCTTAAATTGAGCTGTGGTTGGACATAGACCTTAGAGCCTTGGTTCTCAACTGGTGGGTCGTGACCCCGTGTCCAGTGGGTCGCCACATGCCTTCCACTTTTCTAGGTGAGAGGCTCCTCTGCCTCCTCCTAGTGCAGCACTGTCCATTCTCACATCAAGCAGCCATTTAAAATATGCTGCCCGGCACCAAGTGCTGACTTGGGGTGGGCTGGGGGTTTGGCGGCGAGGGATCTCCATCCATACTTGCATTGCTTATAGCTCCCTTGCATGTCTTGTAGAGGTGCCTGGACCGGAGTGACGTCACATTCTGGCTCCTGACACCTCTACAGGCACGCATGTGAGCTGTACAACCAATGCACATATGGATGGAGCTCCGTCACAGCACAGCAGCCCACACTACTGAGCATTCCATTGCAGTGTGACTTGGGTCGCAACTTAATGACCGAGGACAAATGTGGGACCTGAGGTTACACAGGATGAGAACCACTGAGCTAGAGGATGGACAGAGGTTCAAGCACAATTCAACTTGAGGGATGTTGTTTGTTGTGTCTCAGGCTGAACTATGGTTGAAACATAAACCTTGGATGATGTATGGAGGTCTAGGCATTATCGAAATGTTTATGGATGTTGCTGCCTGTGTACAGGACTGTATGTCAGGTGTGTGTTGGTTGTGTCTCAGGCTAAGCAATGGTTGGACATGGACCTTGAAGGATGGTTGGAGGTTCTGGCATAATCCAACTGTTGAACATTTTTTTGGTAAAGTCTCAGCTTATGTTTCTGTCCGGAGCGAGGAGACAGAATGGCAAACATCCATCAGTCTCCAATGAATGAACCCTTCACCATCCAGTACTATCTACCCACAGATCCAAAGTGTACAGCCTGATGTGGCTGAAATCAGTCAGATATTTCACCGTCTCAGTCTGTAGCTGGATAAGTCCAGGGCAGTGTTTTTATATGTAGTAACCTGTACATAAACATTAACAGGTTCTCTGGAGGTCCACCGGCCGCACCTACTGGGTCCACTGGCACATGGTTCAGATCATCGGAGAGCAGGCTGATGACGACAGTGCGGAGAAAGCTTCAACTGTGGCAGAAAATGTGAAGGTGTCACCAGGTGAGCGTGGAGGATCCATGGGTTACCCTGCACCTTGCGGGGAGGAGTGGAGGATGCGCAGAGATGATACTTGTTATCTTTGCTGTATCACGAAGGCTTCAGGTGTCACTACACACCAACACATTTAAAGGGTTTCTAAACCCTTCCAAAAGTCCGAAACTGCTCGGGAGGCCGCAAAGCATCTTAGGTGGGGGCAATTCGGATTTTCGGCCGGGAGACGAGGAGAGACGCAAGGTAAGTATATGGACGCGTGCACCCGCATGCAGACACCGTGGGACAGGAAGTGCCAGGAAGGACAGAGGAGTCGGCGTTGGATTGGAGAGCCGCAGCAGCGCTGGAGAGACATGAAAAGGACAGGAAAGAAGAAGATCGGATAAGGAGACATCATTTCAGGTAAGTGCTTTCATTAACATTGGGGGGAGGGAAAAATGTTTTAGATTTAATGTCACTTTAACTTCAAGCAGCAGAGCCGATGTTCTTCTGGCGCATTGTTCTGTCATCTCCACGAATTAATTGTGTGTCTTTCTGTTTCTTTACAGTGGCTCAGTCTTTGCCGTCTAAGGCATGTGGCAGTATGTACGCCCTCCCCTATCTTGGTCCAATATCTTTTGAGGAGAGAGGGATCCTGAGGCAGGATGAGTGGTGGGAGGTCCTGTTCTTTATTCGGAGGCTGGAGGTTCAGGAACAGAATGAGGTTCACGCAATGATCAAGCAGAACCTGGATGAGGTGAGCGAACAGCCAAAGACGACCTCGCAGGAATGCGGGGAGAGGGCTGGAAACAGTCTATCAATCAGCAATTGAGCATAATATTCTATGCAGGACACACCATGATGGGTGATGCCACAGAGTCAAACCAGCCTCAAGGTGTGAACAAGCCAAAGTTGTAGAATACGGTGGGTTGTGTCCTCCTGTCTGTCAGTCTCAGACAATGTATATAGATTGATCATATGGTTGGGGCTCTTTGCTTCCTCATCTGTCAATCTTAGGTAATGCAATTTACAGACTGGTAATAACATTGGCTCTGTCTGTTCTCATTCATCCAGGTCATGGCGTATCTGTAAAAAATACATGAAGGCAACTGGACTTGCTGTATTTTTATTGAAGACGTTTCGCTGGTCATCCGACTAGTTTTCTGAATTGAGAAAGCTGGTTGGATGACCAGTGAAACGTCTTGAAGAATAACACAGCAAGTCCAGTTGCCTTCGTGTATTTTTTACTGATATAAGGTGAGCTCTTTGTATTCTCCTCTCCTGTCAGTCTTGGATAACACGGTCCACAGAGTAGTAACAAGTAGGGATGCTCCGATACTGATACTAGTGTCGGTGCCGATACCGAGTATTTGGGTGAGTACTATACTTCCAGTCAGAGGGAGATCTCCCTCTGATCGGCAGCACCGAGGGAACATGAAGCTGGCTTCCTTTCCAATCAGGATGCCGGTGTGGTGGGTTATGACTCTCCTCCCAGCTTCCTGATTGGCTAGGAAGCCGGCTTCACGTGTTGCTAAGCAGCTTGGCTTTCTAACCAATCAGGAAGCCAGGTGTCGCATAATGACTTGCCTCCAGGCTTCCTGATTGGCTAGGAAGCCGGCTTCACGTGTGGCTAATCAGAAAGCCGAACGGCACCTCATGACTCGCCGCCCAGCTTCCTGATTGGTCAGGTAGCCTCTGAAGCTGGTGATCTTTCACTAGAACTTCCGGCTTCACAGGCAATCAGGAAGCCGGGCGACTTCCTGATAATCGGGCACAAGGCACCGGTACTCTATATCGGCGAGTACCAAAAAAAAAATATTGGTGCTTGATACTGAAAAAATGGTATCGGTGCAACCCTAGTAATAAGGCAGGGCCTTGAGTCCTCCTCCCCTCTGAGGTCAAGTGCCTCCTTGTGTCCTCCACCTCTGTCAGTCTCTGCTTATACACTCTCTGTAGATTGGGGTCTGGTATGAGGCTCTCTGACTCTTCCCTTTTCCTCTTCCCACCAGCCGTGTGGCACCGAGGAAGCCGCCTTTGTACAGGCCTCGATCTCCGTGGATCTTACACAGAAAATTCTGGCGTTCCTCAGTAAACATTGCCGCGGATGCGTCCTGAGCGATTTGCAGAGTTCACATGTCTATATGAAATATGTTCTCCGTCCCAGCGTAGCGGCAGCGAAGCTGACAACCAACTCCAGCTCCTCCGTGCAGGATAACGCCGTTCCCGGTGTCGCCCTTTCCAAGAAAACAAAGAGCGAAGAACCCAAAAAATCTGACAAGGCCGCAGCCGGGACTTCAGGTGCAGAACCGTCAGACCTTCAGGTCCTCCGCAGACTTCTCTCTCAGGAAGGAGTTCAGGTCCCCTCTCCATCTGAGGATAAGAGCAAAGGTGAGGAAGAGAGGGGGGGCTGCGGGGTCATTGGGAGGGGTATGCCATGTACTGGTGACTACATTGTGTGCGCAGTGTTTTCTGCCCAAACTGTTTCTGTCTTTCCTGTCTATAATTCTCTGGTAAGGGGAAAGGGATGCTGTGTAACAAAGTTCATATGAGATCATTCTTTCATGAGATGCCGTGCATATATCCCCTCATTAATATTGCCAGCCTCTACCATGTGCACAGGTCAGTTGACTCCCCTGGTATTGGTAGTTGCCCATCTAATGGGGGGCTAATGAGCTTATGCCTGTGCTCTTTACTTCAGGTCAGGTGACTCTCCGCCAGAATTGTGATAGTGGTACTTACCCGTCTTATTGGTTGGGGGGGCGGGCTGATGAACTCATCCCTATGCTCTTCACTTCTGTACGAAAGCCCCTAGTCTAACATGCTTCAGGCACTAACGGTAATTTTGGGCAATCACAGTGCCTTTCACTCCCAGTCTGTGTTCTCCAAAAATAATATACAGACATATTCTAGTTACCTAAAATCTTTACTGCCATGGTTCATGTTACACTTGTATTAAAGGTGTAGGATGAAACATGGTCACGTTCTCCAGCACCACGCACCCCCCTCTCCCCCTTTGCATGATGGAATAAATGTCACTCAGAGTACCTCAGGGCTGAATACTGAAAAATGGCCGGGACAGGAAGGGGGTTCAACACCCCGCTCTTAAAGTGGTTAAAACCCTTTTGACTTTAGGGCCCAGTCACGCCATATCCAGTGCGTCCCGGTGCAGTGGGCCCAGTCACGCCATATCCAGTAGGTCCCCGGTGCAATTCATGCACGAAACGCACTGGATTGCAGAGATCAAGCTGGGCAGCAATCTGGGCCGGGAGGGGGCATGTCGTTGCCATTCATGTCAATGGCCTTGCAGACATGCCCCTCCGCCTGCACTGCAATTGCCCGAACCGGAACGCGAGGTGCAGGAATGCTGCATGCACTATTTTTTTCAGATTGCCCTGCACTGGAGCGGAGGGCATTCCTGTACCTCATGTTCCGGTGCTGGCGATCACACGGTGGGGGGCGTGTCTGCGGTGCCATTCACATGAATAGCAAAACAGATGACAAACGCACTCATCAATTCGTCACCAGCTTTACAGTACACGGAATGGGCTTTAAACAGTAAAATAGCAAAAAGTTTTCCTGGCACACTCACAAGCTAGCATGTTTAAAAATACTTGTCTCGCACTGAGGTTAAAAACAGAGGTTTGGAATCACGTCTTCTGCAGAAAATGTGAAAGCTGCGCCAAGGCACCTCTTATAGTGCGGTCCTAACTCTAAAGAGCTTGTGAGTGTGCCAGGAAAACTTTTTGCTAATTCACATGAATAGCACCCGCACGCCCCCTCCCACCCCAGAACGCTGCCCGGCATGATCTATGCAATCCAATGTGTTCCGTGTGCTAACTGGATATGGTGTAACTGGGCCCCCTGCACCGGGACGCACTGGATATGGTGTGACTGGGCCCACTGCACCGGGACACACTGGATATGGTGTGACTGGGCCCACTGCACCGGAACACACTGGATATGGTGTGACTGGGCCCACTTCACAGCGACGCACTGGATATGGTGTGACTGGGCCCACTGCACCGGGACGCACTGGATATGGTGTGACTGGGCCCACTGCACCGGGACGCACTGGATATGGTGTGACTGGGACCTCTATCACTTTATTCATCTCTCCGTAGGGAACAGACCTCAGGAAAATGATCAATCACTGATCGACTCCAATAGCGCCGCAAATACCTTTTTTCAGGCAATTTCAGTCCATATAAAACTCAGTCGCATACAGGCGCTGTGTGTGCCACGTGCACAGGCAAACCTCTGACCAGTCTTATCATAAAACCGTCTTCTGACCTCTTCAGGCTGTTAAAATGTCCTGAGGCTCCGAAGTCCAGTTGTGTGTTGACGAGCTCTGCTTAGTTGTCTTTTGCTAAACTAAAACGCTCCCACCGTCCTCCTCTCCACAGCATAGGCGGTAAATGTTCTGTAGTCCAAGATAAAAACTGGGAGGGTTCATTTGTCTTAAGACAACAAGTGCACATGCCGCCTCTGGATTTATAACCCGATGAACAGGGATTTTCTTTTGCACTTATTGAGCAGATATAATAAAACACTTTTAATGGTGCAATTGGTAACAGACTAAAAGGACCAATTAGGAGAAGTCCATTGAAGTGTGTAACCTGTAAAATGATGAGGGGGTAGACAGGGTAGTACCCGGCAGCTCTTCTGGTGCCCTGGAGAGTTCACACGCTTCATTTAAACTCTGTGCCCAGCCAGGAGCCTCGTGTACTGTAGGAGAGCAGTATTTGTAGTAGCTGCTAAGGGACACAGGAAGTCTTTAACCTTTTGGGTTATACTGCCGTCTACAGGAGGATTGAACACTAGAAAACTAGGCCAGCTCAGGATAACACCTAATGGCTTCTACTACCAGTATGCCCCAGATTTGTGCTAGTGTCCTTGAAAGATGGGCATTTTTTCTTAATCTGCTGAAGACTAACATTTTCTTGCTCGCATGTTTTTCGGGTGAAATTGTTTTTTTTTCTTCGATCAAAGCTTTATATATCGCTGCTACTTGTCACTCCGATTGCAGCTTTCTGATTTTATTAGTCCTCAGTCTGGCTTTTGAATTCTCCTGTTCGGACCCCATTGGAATGGACGTGGTGTGGATAGGCAAGAAGTGTCCTTTGGGATCTGGATTCTGCGCTTTCCAGACTCTGTTCTGGTAAAATGTAGCCGTGGAGCGTTTTTCAGCCTCTCCCTCCAGCCTTTTAGGCCTTCTGGATCAAGGTGTCATTGCCCCAGAATGATTCAAGGGGTTTTTTGCTAGGGATTTTCATGAGAACTACCAGGGTTGCAGCGGTTGCAGCTGGGACCGGGCTCTGGCACTCCACCACTGTCCTGAAATCATTAGTTGATATTGTTTTAAAAAAACTGTCACATGACAATAAACAAAAATGTATCAGTAATCGTATCTGTGAGGACTTGGGCAAGTATCAGTACTTGTACTTGCAAAACTGGTATCGGTGCATCCCTAATATATATTTATAAAAACAAAATCATACATTATAACAGAGATGTACAAATCCCGGGAGCTCCGTGTGCTCCTTACAAATGACAGCTTCCTCCTAACTTTTGAGTTTTTCTCTAGTCTAGTCTTGGAGCTGGAAAAGTATCTGTACTTGTACCGAGTATGGTACTTGGTATTGGTGCATCCCTACTGTTCACCATTTCCAACCCCAAAGGGAGCATTTGCCCCAGTCTGGATCCCCAAGCTCTGAATTTCTTCATTCAGGTCACAAAATTCTGCATTGCATCTACCAAATCTGTCAGCGCCTCCCTTCAGCTGAGGAACGTTTATGCTTCTGCGTGCATCAGAGATGCTTAACTACATGTCCCCATCTTTCCAGCAAATCAGTGGTTCCTGCAGTGTGCTGTGCTGTGTGGCCCTTGCGCTACCAGTTTTTAGCCCTGCCTTTCGGCCTCTTGTCTGGACCCCCGGTATTTACCAAGGTGCTGGTCCCTGTACTAGCAATGCTGCGCTTGAGTGGCATCACCATTGTGAGATACTTGAATGACCTCTTGTTGAGGGAACAGTTGGCGTAGGCTCTGCAGGACAGTGTGGCCAAATATTTAGCATTTCAATGTTCAAATGTTACAGTGGTTCAGATGGATCCTGAACCTTGAGACAACCTCTTGTAAAACATTTTTTTTTTAAAGGTTTTTGCATATATCTTACTAGCTAGCTTGCTAACAGTAGATATATGCAAAAAAAAAAAAAAGCTGAGGGTTTAATAACCCTTTAAAGCAGTGGTCTCAAAGTACCGGCCCGCGAGCCGGTACTATGTGGCACGCAACCAGCTGACAAGTCGGGTACACGGTCACGGACCCGACTTGTGGTAGCAGCTACACGGTCTGCATCTCTGTCGGATGCAGACCGCATAGCTGCTGCAGTGCCGCACTCGATTAGGAAGGTCTGCAGCAGACCTTCCTAATCATTCGCCATCGATCGTGCCTCCTCCCTGCAAAAAGGTAAGCAGGAGAGGGGGCTCTTAATTTTGGATATATTTTAAAGTATGAGATTTGGCAAGCAGCCCTCTTGGGAGAAAAAGAATTGTCGAGTGAATTGAGTTTGAGACCCCTGCTTTAAAGACTTCCTGTGTCCCTCAATAGACAACAAAGAGAAAAGGGAACTCGCTGTAAAATCCAGAACAGAACCCATAGCAGGCTGACTGCCAATTATTGTAGTCCCGATCATTCTACGTGTGCTGCTGGAGAGTGGCGTTTGGAGATCTGGCTCACCTATTCTACAGATTCTCTTCTAGGAATCGGATCTTTCTGGGGCTCGTCACCCAAGGTTTGTTTGGAGCTGTTGGCGGAGATGCTGGACAAGGTGAAGCGGAATGTCTGTGGGGCTGGGGCCCTGGGCTTCATTGTTCAGATCATGGAGCAACAGCTTGGTGAAGAAGCACACGGTGTCAAGTCAGAGGGGCGTACGTCATGCAGGTACTTACCAGAAGACCGCCAGTGTCTGTTTCTCAATTTCGCCCAACAAACAGAAATGGAAGACGGAAGCTGATTGTACTAATGGATGTTCTGATATTTAGGGACAAGATTGTAAAGCTATTGGTGGAACTTCTGACGTCGCAGGTGAAGGACAAGCTGCTGGTGGTGACGTGTCTGCAGTTGACGTACCTGGTCATGTCCAAGTATGACTGGCGTGTCCTGTTTGCCACAGAGGGAGGGGTGAAAGCTGTGCTGGGGTGTATGCAGGAACATCAATCCTCTGCCGCCGTCCAGCATATAGGGCTTGCGGTAAGTGGAGAAACTGATTGTCCAAGCTTCACATCACGAGTGTCTGCCATCTGATAACATCATTTCTCCTGGCAGGTCCTGAGGGTGCTGACTGGTGTGGATGGTTGTGATATCCAGGGGCCTTCCAAACGTAACACCCTGAATCCAGGGGATGCTCAGGTGATTAAAGAGATCTTCTCCAGTATTGGATCTGCCGCCAGTGGCACCTCCACCAGTCTCCTGAGGGCCATCCCCAGCGCCATTGCCAAGATGATAAGTGAGGAGGGGTGAGGATGACTGTTTCTCTATCCTGTGAACTTCACCTGCGTTGGTTATGACACTTCATGTGCCCGGTGTACAGCACCTGTCTTAATATTACCCGTCCTCTGTCTTTTGTCCGGCAGGTGTTTCTCCTCTGTGTTCAATGGTTTCCTTGTCATTCGGATGCTGATGGAAAACCACAAGGGTTTGTCTGAGCAGCTGTCTAGTTTGGAGTTGTCCTCCGTCCTCCAGAGCTTCTCCGAGGACTCCAGCAATTCCATGTATGGGAGGCTGGACCTCCTAATGCAGAAACAGCTGAGTGACCTTCTAAAGAACAATAAGGAGAAAGTTGATGCTGACAGCAAAGGTGAGAACTGCCTGCGGTCTCAATTGATATGTTTGTCACGTACAATGCTATGTGGCGAGAGAATGGAGTGTGCAGTGATAACGCTTTGGCCGTCTCTATGGCTGAAGGCTTCTTGGCTGTTACTGTGGTGCCGTTGCACAAGATCAGAGGACTTGCTGGCGGCAGAGGACTTGCTGGCTGACTCTTGATTGTTATTTGGGTGGCCACAGCTGTCTGATTGTGGAACCATGTAGATGGTCAGAATTCACAAAAGTGTTGCATTGGGTGTGTACTGTAGTTAAACTTAACAGCTGCTGTTAGTTCTGTATGTTTGTTCTATTAGTCTCTCCCATGCATGAGACTTCTACATTAAGACAACAGCTGTGCCCTGTCTCTAGTGGAGAGTGTTCACCTTGGTCCCTTTTATAGTGGAGAGCGCTGAGCAGTGTCCATTCAATAGTGGAGAGTGCTAAGTGTCCCCTCTCTAGCAGAGAGCGCTTAGCTGTGTCCCTTCCATATCGTAGAGCACTGCATTCTGCCCCATCTCTAAAAAAAGAGCGCTGTGCTTTGTCCCGTCTCCCAGCAATAAGCACTGCGGTGCCCCATCCCTAGCGAAGAGTGCTGCACTGTGTCCCCTCTCTAAAGGAGAGCTCTGTGCTATGTTCCATCTCTAATAGAGAGCTTTCTGGTGCGGCGCGTGGAGCATGGATGCGAGCGGGTCTGGCAGCGGCGAGCGTGAGGTGGGGAGGAGGTGCGGCGCACAGTGTGTGGAACTGTGAACAAGGCCAACTGATTGGAATTCGATTAATCGATTATTGAAAAAGTTGACAACTTTCAATAATCGATTATAATCGATTATGTCGATTAGTTGTTGCAGCCCTAGCGGAGAGCGCTTAGCTGTGTCCCGTCTGTAGCGGAGAGCGCTTAGCTGTGTCCCGTCTGTAGCGGAGAGCGCTTAGCTGTGTCCCGTCTGTAGCGGAGAGCGCTTAGCTGTGTCCTTTCTCTTGCAGAGAGTGCTCCAGCACTGGCAGTCCAGGAATTGGATCTCCCGTCTTTGCTGAGTAGTCTGAAGGACATTCGGTTGTGTCGGGAAATGCTGCCCGCTCTGGAACGATGTGTCTGTGATGACGTCTCCTCACTACGTTGTGATGTTCCTCAACTTCTCACCGACCCCAACTTCTTCCTGCAGCTCCTCTCCTGTCTGGAGCAGCTGAGGGGGGAGAAACGTCAACAGCTCAGTGTGTACAGGTGACAGCGCTGCATGACCAGACGAGAGCCCTCTGTGACATGTATGGGATCTGCGTGCGTGCGCGGGGAGGGAGATGTGCGCGCGTGGGGAGGGAGATGTGCGTTTGCAGATGAGGAAGCTAAGTGTTCCAGGGCGGAGCAACCTGTGACCTGCACATCAGACAGTTGCATCTGCTAGTGCTGAACAAGCGCCTCATCTAGCAAAGCTGTCATGACGAGTTCCTTCTAGAGTTCATCGCCTGCTTTCTGCTGTAAATCTGTTTAATCTTCGGAGCCTACATTGCTCTAATTCATTTTATTGTTCCCTCATGCCTGCTTCACGGACAGGCTGTGGCTGAGGTCTTCCTTGATAGCTCCTGTATAAAGTGTGGTGCCAGTAAACAGAAGTCCGCTATAGATCATAAAACACAGAGACCTGACCTCAAACCAGCAGGAGCAACATTTTACATAGGGGTGCACAGAAATAGAAATTCCGAAACCGAAACCAAAAATGTTTTTTATTGGAACAGACTTCCAGCACAGTCAGGGAGTCAATCAACAGTAATGCTGGATTCACACTCCGTGTTGTGGTAACGCAAGTAACATGCTTACATTTTGTATGGCACCCTAATGTATGAAGGCAACGCACCCGGGTTGTAGTGCATCGCAAGGCATGACCGTGCATGTGTTCATGAGCGCATGTTAACGTGCAACTTAAAGTATTATTAAACTGACAGTTTTTTTCAGATTAAAACAAATATTGTCCAGCAAAGTATTTCTTTCCATTTTTGTGTTTTCTAAACAGCTGGCTCCAACTCTTTTAGCTCGGCTTCCCTGAACATAAATTAATTTAGTTGCTAACACAATTCTTTGTATTCCTCTTGCTGCCAGCCGTCGGGTTAGATTCCACGGTCGGCAGCAGAATGTAAACAATGGGGAGCAATAGCCAGCCTGCTATTGGCTATTTCAAATTTGGGAGCAGACCTGAGAGAGCACTTTCTCTCCCAGGCCCGCTCCTCTTTTCAGTGGGTGGGGCTTCAATAGCCAGTCTGCTATTGGCTATTGCAAATTGCAATAGCCAATAGCATGCTTGCTATTGCTCCCGCACACTGAGCAGAGTAGCTGACCCGTGGTGGCTTAAGAGTTACTATTGACTCTGGACCAGAAACTACAGTTATCCGGCACCTACCAATCTGCATAGGCGCCGAAACACAAAGTTTAATGTAGTTGGCTTTGCTGTGTGTTTTGTGAATGTAGAAGAAGACATAGTCACTCGCACACCTAGGTCCAATGCATCAATCCGTCCTTTTATTGACGTCAGATACACACACATGACATCGCAAGTACAAAGCAACGTTTCTGTGCCAAGGGTTATCTGATGTGTATAAAAGGATGGATTGATGCATTGGACCTAGGGGTCTGTCAGTGACGACGACTTCTACATTTGGATGTATGAGGCGCCATCTGCATGTCATTCAGCACACTCCATTATATCACCATGGGATTCCGGTCTGGCAGTGCCATGGGACACAAATTGTGTGTTTTGTGAAGACGCACACAGCATGCTTGCCACACACAAGGGCGGCTCCATACGACCCTGCAAGAAAAAGGAGCCACCCTAATACAGCATATCAGGACCAGGGCTCTGGGCACCAGCTGATTCTAAATTTAAACATCAGCATCCTTTTGTAAGTGATTTCATCAGCATTTGAAATTGCTTAACCAGTTGACATCCGCGGTGTTAAATCCCCTTCCCATCCAGGCCATTTTTCAGTATTCAGCGCTGCGGTACTTTGACATTTATTCCGTCATGCAACGCTGTACTGAAATGAATTTTATACCTTTTTTTGGGGACAGATAGAGCTTTATTTTGGTGGTATTTATTCACCACTGGGGTTTTTATTTTTTTACTATATTAAGGAAAAATCACCGAAATTTTTTAAAAAAAAACAGTTTCCCATATATTAAATGATAAAACATTTATTATTACCCAATTTTTTGGTAAAATATAAAAGACGGGGTCACGTCGGGTAAAAAGACACCAAACATGTCAAGCCTTAAAATTGCGTGCGCGAGCAAAACCGCAAAAAACGATAATACCCAAAATTGGCCATAGGCGACGCTTTAAAAGCTGTTACCGCTCATCAGTTTAGTGTTATCAGTGATTGATGGCCCTAAAATTATTGCTCTCACTGCGACGTTCGCGGCGATATGTAACATGTGTAGCGCAATTGTAATTTTTGCGCGCTGGGGCACCGGACGCGTATTTACGTTTATAGGCGCGTAAACGTGGGGGTGGGGGAGTTAAACATTTTGGGTTTTTTTTTCCCCTTTTTTTATATCTGACTTTTATTTTATTTTACTTTTTTATATGTGACTTTTATTTATTTTTATTTATATTAATTTTTTTGCACTTATTGTTATTGCTATTATATAGGGGGATAACAATCCCCCTATATAATAGCAAAGGCACACTGACAGGTCCTCTTTATGGAGACATTAGGGGTCTCTAGGACAGGTGGGGGGGTGACGCAAACGAGCACATATCGGCGGGCTACGGACCCGCTGATCGCCTATATGTGAAACACCCGGTATCGGGTGTTCGCATTGGACGGGTCTTTTCTACCCGTGCGTGCCCGCTAGGGGGCGCACGCGAGCAGAAAAAAAATGCCGTCTGGCGACGGCAACCCGCCAATGCAGCAGTGCCGTCCGTCCGTTTTTCTACTACTGGCGGACGGCAAGAGGTTAAATATCGTTTGACTTTATTATCAGTTTAATGCACCACAAATACGTAAATGGGGTCCCAAGTGACTGCAGACATGTTGGGGATAAAATGCATCTATGCTCAGGCAAGAAGGCTAAAAATAAATAGATAACCTGAATATTAAAAAAAATCAGACTGAAATGGACCATCGTCCTTCTATGTTTTCTTGTTCAGAAATCTTTTTTTATTTTATTTCCAGTAGGGATGCGCCGATATATCGGCCGAAAGTGGCACTTTTCGCCTAATGCTGGAAATACAATTTTCCGATACCGATACATCGGCACATCCCTGGTTTCTTTCCTCCCCGCTGGGCGCAGCTCTGTGACCCAGCGGGGAGAAAAGAAAGTGACGGCCGGCCGAGCGATGCGGGAGGAGAGCGATGTGAGCGGCCGGCATCTCTCCTCCCACACCGCTCAGCGTCCTGTCACAGTCCAGCAGAGCGTTGTGTGGGCGTTGACAGCCCGCGCTGTCACAGGAGGCCGAGCTCGTCTCCCTACACCGCTCGCTCAGCCTCCTGTGACAGTGTGTCAGAGAGGAGAGCGGTACAAGCAGTCGGTGATCTGTGATCGCTGAGTGTTTGTAGATAATTGAGGACAGAGTATGGTTACTATATCCTCCATTATGAATGAATGGGAAGTGATCTACATCACTTCCCATTCATCTGTCTGAGGACTCTGTGCTGTCTGAGGACTCTGTGCTCTCTGAGAGACTCTGTGCTGTCTGAGGACTCTGTGCTCTCTGAGAGACTCTGTGCTGTCTGAGGACTCTGTGCTGTCTGAGGACTCTGTGCTGTCTGAGAGACTCTGTGCTGTCTGAGGACTCTGTGCTTGGACCCGCTGATCGCCTATATGTGAAACACCCGGTATCGGGTGTTCGCATTGGACGGGTCTTTTCTACCCGTGCGTGCCCGCTAGGGGGCGCACGCGAGCAGAAAAAAAATGCCGTCTGGCGACGGCAACCCGCCAATGCAGCAGTGCCGTCCGTCCGTTTTTCTACTACTGGCGGACGGCAAGAGGTTAAATATCGTTTGACTTTATTATCAGTTTAATGCACCACAAATACGTAAATGGGGTCCCAAGTGACTGCAGACATGTTGGGGATAAAATGCATCTATGCTCAGGCAAGAAGGCTAAAAATAAATAGATAACCTGAATATTAAAAAAAATCAGACTGAAATGGACCATCGTCCTTCTATGTTTTCTTGTTCAGAAATCTTTTTTTATTTTATTTCCAGTAGGGATGCGCCGATATATCGGCCGAAAGTGGCACTTTTCGCCTAATGCTGGAAATACAATTTTCCGATACCGATACATCGGCACATCCCTGGTTTCTTTCCTCCCCGCTGGGCGCAGCTCTGTGACCCAGCGGGGAGAAAAGAAAGTGACGGCCGGCCGAGCGATGCGGGAGGAGAGCGATGTGAGCGGCCGGCATCTCTCCTCCCACACCGCTCAGCGTCCTGTCACAGTCCAGCAGAGCGTTGTGTGGGCGTTGACAGCCCGCGCTGTCACAGGAGGCCGAGCTCGTCTCCCTACACCGCTCGCTCAGCCTCCTGTGACAGTGTGTCAGAGAGGAGAGCGGTACAAGCAGTCGGTGATCTGTGATCGCTGAGTGTTTGTAGATAATTGAGGACAGAGTATGGTTACTATATCCTCCATTATGAATGAATGGGAAGTGATCTACATCACTTCCCATTCATCTGTCTGAGGACTCTGTGCTGTCTGAGGACTCTGTGCTCTCAATCTCTTTTTCTATTTTAAAAGGGAAATATCAGGGGTCTGTTCAGACCCCCAATATTTCCCCTGAAGCCCCCAAAAGTAAAAAATAACAATATTTATTAAATGAATTAATAAAAATAAATATTAAAAAGTTTATTAAAAATAAAATATAAAAAAATAAAAATATTTTCGTTTTTCAAATTTCTATTTCGGTGCACCTCTAATTTCCAGTTATCACAAGAAATGTGAACATCTCTGTCATTAGTAATGAGACCCCTCCCCCATAGTCTGAGTCAAAGTGTCAGCATGACAGCCAAATAACCGGCATTTACATAACGGGACCTCCAAGTGAATGGAATTGGGTTTTTTGGGGGGTTTTTTTTATTCAGAAGTTCTAATTTTGTTCTTGGTCGGCGACTCGGAATATATTGAAGCCATTGGATCAATATGGCAGCCATGCAAACGACATTTCGAGAAGGTCAGCATGAGTGGCCTGCATACCTCTCTCAGTTGGGGTTTCCTTCCATTCTGAGCGAGTGGCAGTTGTCTGCCAGAAGAACAATCGGCCCTTCTGCATGCAGGAGTTTTGTCTTGTGTTTTTTTTTGGAGCGGGATTTTAATAGAATTGTCTCTTTTCAGGATTCTGAACAAATCCCTGGATTTCTATCAGGAGGATACACTTCCCTGGCACAAGAGTATTGAGCCGTGTCTGACCTCGCTGGGGAGCACCAGCAGTAGTCAGGAGGTGAGAATTGGGACATGTAAGGTGTAGGAGGTGTTCCCAGACACTGGGTGACAGCGAGGCTGGCTTTGCTTTGTTGGAGAATCATCCTATAGTCGGTCATCATTCTTTATTTGTTCCTTCGCTCTCTTGGTATAGGTGCTCCAGGAAGTGGTGACCTTCCTTCACCGTCTGGCTACCACCAACAAGGACTGTGCAGTTGTTATGTGCAGGCTGGGTGCCAAGGACACGCTGATCAAAGTGCTTGAGAAGCAAAGCACGGGCCTTATACAGGCACCAGAGCTGAGAGACCTCCTGAGTGACTGTGAGAAATACTCCAGCCTCTACCAAAAGATGGCCACCAGCATTCTGGCCGGCTGCATCCAGGTGAGTCTGAGAGGTTCCTGTCAGTGAATGGTGTCTTAGGAGGAGGGTGTGGAGCAAGACTCTTATCCGTACTGCCAGCTTAGATGATGACTGCATCTGTGATGTCAAATTGTATGATACAATCTCTGTCCGATGTGGTTTGTGGTGCAGACTAGTTTTTTCTTGTCGCCATCAGATGGTTCTGACGCAGATAGAAGAGCACAGACGCAGCCAGCAACAGGTCAACATCCCCTTCTTTGATGTCTTTCTGCGAAACCTTTGTCAAGGTGGGTGTGCTTTGTCTCCTGAGATTGTTCCCCCATAATGCCATGCAAGGTCCAAGCTCTGGTAACTGGCAGTGAACCCAAATAATTGTCCTCTGGACACCAGGCCATGAATCTGTCCATTGGGAGTTTTCTTTTTTTCAACAGGACAGCGTCGCATACACATTACCTTCCCCTAAGCTAGTGCCACTTGCCTTATGTGATTGGATGTCACCGTGGATGTCTGTGCCTTCACCTTGCCAGCAACAACCTTCAGCATCCTTCCCCAAGCCTATTGCTGCTTTCCTTAAGTGAATGGATGTCACTGTTGGTGTCCATCCCTTCACCAGGTCTGCATGGACCTTTGCCAACAGGTGGCCTCCCCCAAGTCTAGTGCCACTTTCCTTGTGTGATTGGATGTTTGCCCTGGGATCTATCCCTTCACCAAGTCTGCATGGACCTTTGCCAACAGGTGGCCTCCCCCAAGTCTAGTGCCACTTTCCTTGTGTGATTGGATGTTTGCCCTGGGATCTATCCCTTCACCAAGTCTGCATGGACCTTTGCCAACAGGTGGCCTCCCCCAAGTCTAGTGCCACTTTCCTTGTGTGATTGGATGCCAGTCCTGGCGTCCATCCCTTCACCGGTTCTTTGTGGACCTTCACCTACACGGACCTAGTGACGCTTGTCTAAAGGGAATAGATGTCAGTAACGACGTCCACGCCTGTACCTTCCCTTCATGGACCTCTTTAGCAACCTCTAATCTTGTAAAGGAAGTTTCCTCTGTTTTGGGGGCAGCTTGTGTTGCAGGTGCGCTGGCCTTGTTAAAGTAAGCAGACATAGATATCCCTGGAACTGATTCCCATTGGTCATCCCCATCACTGCCCAGGACTGAAGAGGAATTGTGAGGTTTTTATTCTCCTTTCTCTGCTCTGGAAAAGGTTCTCTTATGATATTTCCTTTTGCATGACTTCAGCTAACAAGGAAGAGTTGCATTTAGATTTTGGTGCAGTTCATTTGGTGCATTTTGTTTTGGCACCAAATTTCATTGCTTATGTTTTTCCGAAAGTTCACTCGGAGACATAGCAGACCTTTTGGGTTCATGCCTTACACCAAGGAGGTTGGATACCAGGGACACTATGTAAAAAGAAGGCGTTTCCCCTGACAACACATGCTCTACAGTACAAGCTCCCTCCAGGCGCCCTTACCCCATCCCCCCCCTTTATCTTTCTTAACCCAGACTATACTATAGTCCCCTCTAACCCTATACCCCTGTTCTTTCCCTTCTATCTTTCTACTTTGCCTCTCTATTCCTTTGGCTAGCGCCGGTCTGTCCAGTTGGACTGACTCGCACGCCTACACGATGGTGGATTATAACTGTTGAATGCAAAAACCACCCAATACCACCAAAACGCCTGACAATGCTATGGATTACATGTGCCTCCCAGTCCACTGTCTGTATCGGACGCATTATGCTCTGTTTTTTTTTTATATGCAAATAAAAACTTATTGAATTTTTTTTAAAAAGGCGTTTTTCCCTAAACCTATACTCTGCATGCGAAAGTCACATTGTGCTCAGTGTCCTAGGTGATGGGGTGCTTCAGAATTTTGTCCAAGGACTTAGGAAGATTCCTGGCTTATATGTTGGAGCAATTCTCCCTTGGCTCTAAATGTCACGCTGCACTCCCAAAGCCAGAGATCCACTGCAAGAAATGCTCCCTCCACTTATCCAACTGTTTCTACTCTCAAAATCTGGACATTTGCTGAAACGAGCAAGAAGGCTTTTACTGTTGTCTGACCTCACCAGTGACTAAAGGTGTCAAGTACAAGCAAAGTAGATGATCTTATCACTTCTAAATCTGTTTACCTGCTGGAGGTGACTTGTCCTTTCTGTGTGCAGGATCCAGTGTGGAAGTCAAGGAGGACAAATGTTGGGAGAAGATGGAAGTCTCCTCCAATATTCATCGTGCCAACAGACTGACAGATGGAAACTCCAAATCTTACTGGGAGTCGAGCGGGAGCACCGGATCCCATTACATCAACATCTACATGCACCGAGGGGTGGTGATCCGGTGAGTGTGATTGGGGAAGATGAGGTATTTTTTTGCTCATACAGGTCATTGTGTATCCCAGAATCTGAGGGTGTTTGTGCCCCTGCAGGCAGCTGGCGATGGTTGTGGCCAGTGAAGATTCCAGTTATATGCCGGCACGGGTGGTCGTGATGGGAGGAGAGAACTCGTCCAACATTAACACAGAGCTTAACGCGGTAAGTGGCAGATCCAGGCCCTCTGAAGGGTGATGGACAAAACCCTTAGACAAGTCCCCAGGTCTAGTGTAGGCTTGGGGAACTATCCTGGCAGACTACGAGTAATTATGACTTTGCTATTTGTTCCCAGGTGAACATCGCCAGCACGGCCGGACGTGTCCTTCTCCTGGAAAATGTCACTCGCTACTGGCCCATCATTCAGATCAAGATCAAGAGGTGTCAGCAGGTAAAGGGTGTGCGGGGTGTGACGGGTGGCAGCAAGGACAGTGTGCCGCTGAGAGTGCATGTTCTAATGTCCAGCTGTGCTTTTACATGTGCAGGGTGGTATTGACACGCGTGTGCGGAGTGTGGAGATCCTGGGGCCCAAGCCAACTTTCTGGCCGGTGTTTATGGAGCAACTTTGTAGAAGAACTTTCTTATTCTACACCAGCAGAGCGCATAGCTGGGGGCAGGAGATCCGCGACAAGAAGGAGAACTTACTACAACTCTTCAGCCGGTGAGCCAATCCTCTTCTCTAACCTACACCTCCATATGGATTTAAGCCTGTAGGATATGTGCTGTGTACTACCAGAGGACCCCCCAAATCACTATATATACCTTCTGCAATACTAGAGACCCCTCCAACCCTGCTATACGGTCTGTAATTTTTATTATTCACCCCGGGGTATAATGTCTGTAATACTAGAGACCCCTCACCCCCGGATATGCTGTCTGTAATACTAGAGACCCCCTCACCCCCGGATATACTGTCTGTAATACTAGAGACCCCTCACCCCGGATATACTGTCTGTAATACTAGAGACCCCTCACCCCGGATATACTATCTGTAATACTAGAGACCCCTCACCCCGGATCTGTCAGATGTGTCGTGTATAGATCTACTGTATGTGATTGAAGTTTGGTCTCCTCTGTACTCCTGAAGTGCATCTTTATACACTCCTTTCTCATACATAAACCACATCCTGACCTGAGATATAATGACCCCCTAAGTAGGGTCCTGTTGCATATTTCCTACTTAGTTCCTAGAGTTCTCTGACTGCTGTATTCCTGGAGAATGGTTTCCATAGTGGCTGTTGTGTCATTGGCATTGTGATATTGCATTGTGCTTTATGCTGTGCGTTAGGGTTGTTGTGGTTTTGCAGTCATGTTGGTGTCTATGTTGTGTTTTAGACTGAACCGGGCATTGTCACATGAGCAGGAGTTTGCAGACCGTTTTCTTCCTGACGACGAGGCAGCTCAGGCTTTGGGCCGGACGTGCTGGGAGTCGCTGATTTCCCCCCTGGTGCAGAGTATCACTACCTCAGGTACAGGGAATTCTGGGAGAATTATCCTCTGATTGAAGTCTCCAGGAATGGTGATAACACTTTTCTCGTTTTCAGATCCCGGAAGAGTTAGTCCTTTTGGGTGGCTCCTCACACGTTACCTGGAGAACAGTCAGGGTTCTCGTCAACCCAAGTCCCGATTGTCGGTCTTCAATTCCCGAGTGCGGAGATTGACTCATCTCCTGGTCCATGTGGACACCAGCCCCCCCGATACCAGTGCACTGAAGCCGCCCAGTAAGACCAGTGAGTTTACCCCATATAGCGTATTGCCATATTCTGATGCCCTCCCAACTCCGGGCCAGACTCTTTGTCGTCCTGACTGCAGCTGGGCCCTTCCTGACAGCTGCCAGAAGATGGGCCTTCGGTTCCCATTCGTCTCTCACATTGTTATGATTAAAAGAGATCTATGAGGCGAGTGCTTTCCACTCATCCTCATAGTTAGAGCCGACCTGTGACAAAGAAGCTGTCACAGGTCGGCTCTATCGATCGGGAAGTGAGCAGAAACATGCAGCCGATCTACTCACTTCCTGATCGTCTCCCTGCAGTGAGCGGTGACTGTCAGTCACCGCTCCCCACAGGGATTCCCCCCTCTCCGATCCTACAGCACTGAGTGGAGGGACGAACGGGGAAGGGGGCAGGCACAGCTGGCTCTGCCTCTAGATAGACGGAGCCAGCTGTCACTCACGCAGCTGGGTGGATCTCGACAGTAATGTCAGGATCTGTCCCGGCTGCGGCGCTCACAATATAATAGCCAGCGATATACTGAGCTTTGGGTCACAGGAAGAGGTTAGCATATGTCCTCCCGTGACCCTAAAGAGAACTATGGGGAAAAACACTTACCCATAGTTCTCTTTTCTCTCTTGGTGGGATGGGTTCTGTTTAAAATAGGTGGATACCACAAAGCAGACATGTACCCCGCTAACATTGTCACCTTCTACAGATGGGAAGAACCGCAGCTCCACCAGTGTTCAAGCGAGTGCCTCCAGCTGTGGGATGGGGAGTATGGCTGGAATGGCTCAGTGCTGGCAGGGGGTGGTTCAGCAGCAGGTAAGTGTCTCTCTGGAGGTGGAATGTCCTTGTGGGGGGTCTGTGGGGGTCCAGGATGTAACTCTGCTTGTTTACTAGGTGCAACGCTTTTTGGAGATGTCGTGGAATGACGTTGATCTGGTTCCTCGCTTCTGTTCCATGTACATGGCTCTCAGACGGGCCATGGAGGAGATATTTGGTCAGCAGACACGGTTTTTACTCGCTTTACAGCAAGGATTCTGCCAGGGGCTGTTACAGCTTTCATTCCTGACCGCATTACATGTGAGTGTGTATCGCAGAGGTAGTACTGTATATTGTACAATGCCCCCCTGTGTGTTTATATGGTAAAGCTCCCCTTCTGACTGTGTATGGTAAGGCTCCTCTAGTCTCTGTGTACAGCAGGTTACATATTGATGTGTTTATATCACAGGTGACGGAGCAATTTGCACGGTACATTGATCAGCGGATAATTGCTATTCGATCAGACTCATCAGATGTCCAGTCAATGGAGCAGCTGCAGCAGTTCCTGGAATGTGTCTTTTTCTTGTCAGATCTAGAACTATCAAATTCCTTTGAGCATTTTTACAGGTCAGTCAAATCAGGAAGTGCCTCATGTATTTTGTATAGGATGTAGAATCGGTATCTATAGAGGAGGCATGATTGATGGGTGTGTATAGAGGAGGTATGATGGGTGTGTATAGAGGAGGTATGATGGGTGTGTATAGAGGAGGTATGATGGGTGTGTATAGAGGAGGTATGATGGGTGTGTATAGAGGGGGTATGATGGGTGTGTATAGAGGGGGTATGATGGATGTGTATAGAAGGAGGTATGATGGATGTGTATAGAAGGAGGTATGATGGATGTGTATAGAAGGAGGTATGATGGATGTGTATAGAAGGAGGTATGATGGATGTGTATAGAAGGAGGTATGATGGATGTGTATAGAAGGAGGTATGATCGGTGTGTCTGGTGAGGAGGTGTGATCAGTGTGTCTGGTGAGGAGGCGTGATCGGTGTGTGTATATAGATGGGATATGATCACTTTGAATAGAGGAGGTGTGATCGGAGTGTGTGTGTGTGTATACATTCATTTATTATTATTAGGGGGTGTGATTCCTCTTCATCGATGAGGTCTGATCATTGTGTAGAAAGGAGGAGTGATCGGTGTGTCTGGTTTAGGAGGGGTGATCGGCGTGTCTGGTTAGGAGGGGTGATCGGTGTGTCTGGTTAGGGGGGGGGATCGGCGTGTCTGGTTAGGAGGGGTGATCGGCGTGTCTGGTTAGGTGGGGTGATCGGCGTGTCTGGTTAGGAGGCGTGATCGGCGTGTCTGGTTAGGAGGCGTGATCGGTGTGTCTGTTTAGGAGGCGTGATCGCTGTGTCTGGTTAGGAGGCGTGAACGGCGTGTCTGGTTAGGAGGCGTGATCGGCGTGTCTGGTTAGGGGGGGGGATCGGGGTGTCTGGTTGGGGGTTGTGTCTGGTTAGGAGGGGTGATCGGTGTGTCTGGTTAGGAGGGGTGATCGGCGTGTCTGGTTAGGAGGGGTGATCGGCGTGTCTGGTTAGGAGGGGTGATCGGTGTGTCTGGTTAGGAGGCGTGATCGGTGTGTCTGGTTAGGAGGGGTGATCGGTGTGTCTGGTTAGGAGGGGTGATCGGCGTGTCTGGTTAGGAGGCGTGATCGGTGTGTCTGGTTAGGAGGGGTGATCGGTGTGTCTGGTAGAGGAGGTGTTAATCTTCATAGATGAGGTCTGATCATTGTGTATGAAGGAAGTATTGTTCGTGTGTTTTTATAGAGGAATTAGAATCTGTGTTTGTAGAGGGGAAATGACCAGTGCCTAGGAGAGATCTTTTTGTATAGAGCAAGTGATGATCAATGTCTGGTGATGGAGGTGGTGTGATCATATTCTTTTCCGGGCGGGGTACAGTTAGTGTTTCATTTTTTATTGTTTTGTAGATGAGGATTTCCGGCCTCATAGCTTTGTGCTTCTGATCATATCCCTGTGCTCCTGTTGCCCATGACATTTTGCAGGCATTATCTGGCTGACCGTCTGCTCACACTTGGACCGTGCTGGTTGGAGAATTCTGTGGTCGATCACATTGGCATTTGTTTCCCAAACCGCTATCCTCAACAAATGCTGAAAAACCTGCAGGAGGCAAAAGATCTTCAGAGAGAAGAACATCTATACCGACTGCAGCAGCTGGACAATGCAATCATATCGGAGGATGAGGAGGAGGGAATGGTGAGAGGGGAGTGGATGGGTTGGGAGTGTATTCTGGTGGAGGAGGAGGCATGGTGAGAGGGGAATGGATGGGGTAGAAGTGTATTCTGGTGGAGGAGGAAGGATGGTGAGAGGGGAGTGGATGGGGTAGAAGTGTATTCTGGTGGAGGAGGGGGGGATGGTGAGAGGGGAATGGATGGGGTAGAAGTGTATTCTGGTGGAGGAGGAGGGATGGCGAGAGGGGAATGGATGGGGTAGAAGTGTATTCTGGTGGAGGAGGAAGGATGGTGAGAGGGGAATGGATGGGGTAGAAGTGTATTCTGGTGGAGGAGGAAGGATGGTGAGAGAGGAATGGATGGGGTAGAAGTGTATTCTGGTGGAGGAGGAAGGATGGTGAGAGGGAAGTGGATGGGAGTGTATTCTGGTGGAGGAGGAGGGATGGCGAGAGGGGAGTGATGCTGTCAGGATCAGTCTCTAAAGTTATTATTAGCTGTTCCTAAGCTTGGAGCAGCCTGATAATAACTAAAAAAATTTTAAAAAGTTAATCTATTAAGCAGTCATAGTGATTGCTTGATATAAACTGACAAAAAAATGTCAGTTTTACACTTATTTTTTTTACAAAGTGTAAAAAAAAAAAAAAGTGTACAAAAAATTAGGAAAATAAAACGTTTATATATAAATATATTTGTATACTATAATTATTTAAAAAATTCTAATAATAATAATCAAAACTTGCTGCTGTGGAAGAATCACACAGCAAAAATGTAAAAAGTGTGTCAGTCATTTAGGAACAGAAACTAAAAACAAGCTCAGGCATGAAGGGGTTAAGGTGCCCATACACTTTACAACCCACCCAAGACTTTTGTCTTGCGATGGTTGTACAGTAATTTAAAAACCGTACGATCTGCCCATCTTGGACGGGCAGATCGTACTTGCGATCATCGCAGGCCCATTCGGCATTTGTCTCCCGAGCATGCCACAAACCAGCCGAAAATCCTACGATTTTCGGCTGTTTTTTGAACATGCTCCTTAGACATAAGACATGCGACCGTTCAGTAAAAACGGTTGCACACCTTCCATACACTTTGCGATTATCGTCAGATCGCGGGATGGGCACCTTTATTCATTGAGGGACACAGAAATGATGTTTGTCAGGTTATATTGCTGCCTGCAGGGATGTGCTAGGAGGATGTATGTCTTTTCTCTAGCTCTGCTGAAAATAATGTACCCACATTTGTTAGCATTTTGTTTTCTTGTTTTATTTAATCGAGGATTTCTCTTCTATTAAATTGAATTCAAGATTCCTTGCTATGTCGCAGCTTGAGCTGGTCTCTATGCAGCAGCCACCTGGATTTCCTAAAACTAGCATTGGAGGTCATACTTGGGCCCCACTGGACTGGACGCATGGGGCTAGCCTGGAATGTGACCGCCGGGCCCTGGGCTCTGCAATGCGCTACTTTCCAGACCTGAATGAACTGGTTAAGTTAGACAGGAAGCACTGTCTGGATCCAGAGCTGTGGCAAGCGCATCAGGTTGGTGGTCCCATCTTCCCTGCTGGGTTATGGGTCCACCTTTTTTTTTTTTTTTTGAGTGTTCCCCAGTCCTCTGAGAGAGGCTTGTATTGTTTTTTGGGCGGGCGTTCTCCTTTGTTGCCCATCCTATAGTTGGACTGCTTTTGGACATCCTGACTGTATCTGAATTCCTGTGTCCCTCAATGATTGAGAGCGAACATTTTTGTACCATTTCTTAGAGTCCGTTGAAAGACCCAAGAATTCAGAGACTGTTGGGTTATACTGCTGCCTACAGGAGAAATTGGACACTGGCTAAGGAAAAAAAGAAGTAGTGACCGCCTGGTATAATCCCTTCTACTCTCAACATGCCTCGGTTTGGTGGAAAAGCAATACCAAGAGCATAAAGTTAGATCAAGAGTGGTGGGACCTGTGCCATTGAACACCAGTGTCCGGTCCAGTGCCAAAGATCACATTCCAAGCTAGCTCCACACTCATTTAACGGGGTCCGGGTAAGGCCTCCAGAGCTAGTGTTGAGGAGCTGCCGATCCACATAGCTGCATATAGAAACCTTGTCCTTAATACTGCTTTACCATAAAACCGAGGCATGCTGGGTAGAGACGTTGGTATACTGGGGGTTGGCTTCCATTATTTCTGTTTGGGTGATGGACGGTCTTGTTGGTAGAGGTCAGTTTAGCAGAGTACTTTGGTGTCTATTGTTGGACCTTCTCGCGGCGCTGTCTCCTTTTAACTAATGATCTGGTTTGTGTCTACAGGAGATGGAAGATAGCTTCGACCCCCGGGATTACGCCGGGGAAGATGGAGAGGTCCAGATCTCTGTTCTCTCCCCCCGTTGTTGGTCTATATCTTCTCTGTGTCACATGATGGATCCCTCCAAAATATTCCCACAATCCCTCAGCAATCCTCTGCTTAATTTCACTGACTTCTATACAAAAAGTAAGACTCCAGACCACAACCTAATCCAGTAATGTGTATGATGGACCATGGCTTCCCAGCGCTGATATTTAGACTAATATTCGGCAATGCCGGAGCCTTATCTCTGTCTGAACCGCTTTTCTCCTATATGTGCAGAATCTTTATATATGGATAGGAATCAGTCATAAGCTCTGATGTTATAACAAGCTTGCTCCGATAGGAAAAGAAAGACCATCACATTCTAGCTTGTTATGACATCTGTTGCCGCTTCCTATATATTGCCATAAAATGAATGGAGGTGGGGGGATTCCCCCATTCAAGCGGTCAGCAGTTGGGGGCTGAACAAGGGAAAACTTGATGTATGGTCAGGTCTAGTTGAAGGGAGGAATCTTTAAACGTTCAGGCCCCGTTCACATATAGCGACTTGTCACCGCGATATCGCGCATTTTTGCCGCGCGATATCGCGAGAAGTCGCCGGCCAATGCTATTCAATGGAGCTGTCTTAACTCCATGTCGCGGTCGCAAGTCGCTTCTACCGGACCCTTTTTTCGGCGGATTTTGCGCGATTTTGCTTTTTTTCTATGGAGCCCGACGGAGAAGGTTGCGCTACCGTCGCCCCGAAAGTCGCGCTATCCCGGCCGCTGCAAAGGTATGTCGCTATATGTGAACGGGGTCTTAAGGGCAGTTTCCTCAACTTGTGTCTCCACCAACTCTATCTCCTCTCTTCTCCCCTTCCTCTCCTTCTCCCCTTCCTCTCCTTCTCCCCTTCCTCTCCTTCTCCCCTTCCTCTCCTTCTCCCCTTCCTCTCCTTCTTCTCCCCTTCCTCTCCTTCTTCTCCTATACTCTCCACCCTCCTCTCCTGTACATACTGCCCCCCGTCATACCCCCCACACCCCTCTCCTGTACATACTGCCCCCATGATACCCTAAAACAGTTCATCATTATTTGTAATACCCCAGCATTTCCAGTTCTGGATCAGGCACACTGTAACAGTAGTATATTTTATATCTATGTGTCCCACATTCTTCCAGGTCAGTATGTCCCGGGCTGTTCTGATATTGTACAGTCACGACGGCTGCAGTGGACGTGGTTGGGAAATGCGGAGGTGCAATATGGCGGTCTGATCCTGCGGGTCTCCACACTGCAGATGTTCATATTGCTGCAGTTTAATCAGCAAGAGGTGAGATGTACTGAAGGGCTATATTGTGATATACTGGGCTTTGATGGTAGAAGCTGGTACCATGTGGTGCAGGGGGGGGGGCTACAGTGTGCTACACAGTGGTGTATGATGGGAATTGGAGTCTGCTACTTTGCAGTGTATAATAGAGGTAGGGAGCAGAAGTCCGCTGCACTGTTGTGCATGGTAGCTCGAATTTGGTATGGTGGCCAAATGTAACCACGTTTATTACAAATGATGAAATGACAGGAACCTTTTATTTCCAGGAAATTTTGGAAGAGTCAATAATTAAGACCTCGGGCCTGCCAGAGACCTTGGTGAGCCATGCGCTGGCACCACTAACTGCCAAGGGCAGCATCCTAGTGCACAAGGAAAAAGGTGAGTGTGGTCCAAGACACTCAGTATTGCGTCATCTCCATCCTTTCCTTCTGCCGTCCCCTACCTGAACTCCTCTCTTCTTCCTTCACTCACCTCTACATCTCCTTCCCCCTTCCTGTACCCATCTATTCCACTCTCCTCTCTGCAGCCACCTTTGCTTCTCCTTTCAGCAGCCACCTCTGCTTCTCCTTTCTGCATGCCTACTAGTGATGGGCTCGGGCGTGTTTGCAAGCGCCCCGTGCCAAGCCAGCCGGGAAGCAGTCAGCGCGCAGGGCCAATCACAGGCACTGAAACATGTTCCCGGTCCGCAGCTGCAGAGATCGGGAAATGTCTCAGTGCCTGCGATTGGCCCTTCGCGCTGACAGCTTTCTGGCGGGCTTGGCACGAGGCGCTTGCGAACACTCCCGAGCCCATCACTAATGCCTACCTCCTGCCTCTCCTCTTCCTTTCCTGCACTTGCTTTTGCCTCTCCTCTCCCCATGTACACCTCTGCTCTAGTCTCCTTGTGCCCACCTCCTTCTCCTCTAATTGTGCCCACCTCTGTCTCTCCTTACACATACCTCTGCCTCTGTTTTTCTTGTGCCCACTTCTCCTCCACCTTTCATTGTGTTTACCTCTCCTCTCCCCATTTCCACCTCTTCCTTTCCTCATTATCCCATCATTTACCTCTTCTCTGCCTCTGCACTCTTCTCTGCCTCTGCACTCTTCTCTGCCTCTGCACTCTTCTCTGCCTCTGCACTCTTCGCTGCCTCTGCACTCTTCGCTGCCTCTGCACTCTTCGCTGCCTCTGCACTCTTCGCTGCCTCTGCACTCTTCGCTGCCTTTTACTCTTCGCTGCCTTTTACTCTTCGCTGCCTTTTACTCTTCGCTGCCTTTTACTCTTCGCTGCCTTTTACTCTTCGCTGCCTTTTACTCTTCGCTGCCTTTTACTCTTCGCTGCCTTTTACTCTTCGCTGCCTTTTACTCTTCGCTGCCTTTTACTCTTCGCTGCCTTTTACTCTTCGCTGCCTTTTACTCTTCGCTGCCTTTTACTCTCCCAGCACTCTTCTCTGCCTCATAACCCTCCCGTGCTCTTCTGTGCCTCTCCTCTTTCCACACTCTTCTCTGCTTCCATTCTCTCATACCCTTTTTTATGTCCCTTCCTTTAGCCATCTCTACCTGTACTCTCCTTGTTGCATCCACCTCTGTCTACTCTCCCCGTGCTGTATTGTGTGCCTCCTCTTCCTCCAGCCTCCTCTGCCTCTCTTATCCCTGCGCTCACTCCCTTGCATTGTTTTTAGGGCTCCTGTGTCTGAATGAAGAGAAGTTAATTGAGCAAGGTCCTGGGATGATTCTGCAGCTTCTTCCAAGGCAGACATACTTGAATGTAGAGGAAGATGAAGGACGCACACTGGACAAGAAAAGAAACATTATCCTCTGTCTCATCACACAGATCATGAAGGAAGAAAAGGAACTTCATATCGACAATCTGGTGTTTCGGGTAAGTTTGGGGTCTGCTCCAGGGAGCCTCTTCCTCTCTAGCTGCTGCTGTTTTCCTTGGAGCGATAATACAATTATTGGTGGTAATTATGATCCAGCCCGGATTAAACCAGCTGTGTGGAGTAAACCAGCTCAATGCGATCTAATATAAATAATGAAGGCGTCCATTTATAAAGAAGAACCGATTCGTCTCTGCTTATACCGGAGGACTTTGCAGTGTGGAGCCTCTGATGTCCTGTGGTGTGTCTTCTGCAGAACACTTCAGACTACACTTGCAGGCAGGGGAAGATCGCAGTCACATGGAGATGTTTCAGGTCATGTGACTGGTTTATTTCCCTTTCTTCCACCTATTGAAATGAATTGGACTCGAGTCCCGCAGCAGTTAAAGCCCAAATTGCATTTATAGAACACCCAGAACATTACCTCTTCCACTGCTGAACCCCAATCTGTTAAACGGAAACCTTCCTCCAAGGCAGGGGTAGTCAACCTCCGGCCCTCCAGCTGTGGTGAAACTACAAATACCATCATGCATCTGTCTCCGGGTGTCATGCCTGTGGCTGCAAGAATCTTGCAATGCCTCATGGGACTTGTAGTTTTACCACAGCTGGAGGGCCGGAGTTTGGCTACCCCTGCTCTAAGGTTTGCTGAAAAACTGACTTTTTCAGGAGTGTTGATGACCTAGTTTCTCCCTCCACCGACTATGGTTCCTCCTGATGAACCCTGTATCATTACTGTATTCAGTACTGACCTGGAGGTTGGTGGGAAGAACCACTAAGTGCAGAGGGGTATCAGAAGATCAGCACTCCTGGAGACTTCAAAGGAAGGTTTCTCTTCAGCAGAGCAGTGTCAGGAACATGGGCAGCTCGAGAGGTAAATACTCTTTCCTTCAGAAAGCTTTGTGGTCAGAATTATTTACCCAACGGGGTCAATCTAAGAGTGAGTACACCTCAGAATTTACGCTTTGATACAACGCTCAATGCTTTATAATGTAATGAATATCGTTCACGCACTGGTTTTACTCGGCAGTACTACACATCTAGTAACCAATCAGCATCTCTCTTCTTGTTTCTCAGGTCATCGACTCCTGCCAGAAGTTGGAGGTTGGGAAGAGCCTCAAGTTCCTGAGCTTCGGCTGCAGCCACACGGACGTCCTCTCCTGTATTATGTACCTCGTCAGTCAGGGCTACGCACGGCGCAGCGAGGATAGCCCACATATACTTGAGTACCTTTCGAAAGACCCGTCCACGCCACACAAAAGCAAAGCGCACATCAGTTTCCAGACTGCCAGCAAGAAGATGCAAGAGCATGGCGGCCAGGCCTCCAGGTACAAGGGGACTGTCTGTGAATGTGTGGTGTGTTCCACGTTGGCTTCAACACTTCCCAAGAATCAAATACCGGTCCTGGGAAAATTTCAATAACCCCCCCAAAGCGCCTCATAGGATGTATAATGTGTGTATTGTGCATGGCAGCTGTGGGTTGTGGAAGAAACAGCGGGGGGAATTTATCAAAACTGGAGCAGACAAAATCTGGAGCAGTTGCCCATAGTAACCAATAGGGATGCACCGATACTTGTATCGATATCGGTGCCGACACCTAGTATTTGGGCGAGTACTCGTACTCGCCCATATGCTCCTATGCCTAGCACGAGTACTTCCTTTATCAGGAAGACGGGCAGCGCGTCATTACAAGTTTCCTGATTGGCCGGGAAGCGGCTCCATGCTCTCTCGTCACGTGTAATGACGCGCTGCCCGGCTTCCTGATTGGCCAGCTTCCCGACCAATCAGGAAGCCGTGTGCCGTGTAATGACGCAGACCGCAGCATTCTGATTGGCCGGGAAGCTGGCTTCATGACGAGGAAGCATGGAGCCGGCCTCCCAGCCAATCAGAAAGCAGGGTGTCGTGCCATTACACGCGCCCGGCTTCCTGATTGGCTGGCTGGGTACCGGAGGAAGGCCGCGTTCTAGCTGGAGAGGCCCCGGGGGTGACAGGCTGGACATACCAAGGTAAGAGGAGACTTTCTTGTGAATCGGGAAGCCGGGTGGCGAGTTTTTACACGCCACCTGACTTCCTGAATGTCACTTCCGTTACTCAGTAATTGGTATCGGTGAGTCCCGAAAAAAAATTATCGGTACTCAGTACCAAAATACCGGTATCGGTGCCTCCCTAGTAACCAATCAGCATCTCTCTTCAGTTTGCTCAGTTGAGATTTGAATATGAGAGAGAGAAGCTGATTGGCTGCCATGCAAATCTGCTCCAGTTTTGATCGATTCCACCCATTGAGTCATGTGACTGGATTCTCCTTTTGCTGTGACTCTTGTCATCCAATGATGGTGACATTTATACTTCTTTTGTTTCAGCGCCGGAGGCTCGGTGGAGCAGACAGTCCTGGAATCTGTTCTCCTGCCCATGGGTCGCACTCTGGGCCAGGAGGAAGTGTGGGCACTGATGGCTTATATGGTTGATCAAGTTGCAGAGACACTGAGCGTGACCCAGGACAGCGCCCAACACCTCCTTATTCACTGCAAGTGGAACATGGACTTACTGCTGCAGAAATACACCGATGACTCAGAGGTTCTGCTCATTGCCTCGGGTTTGCAGGTCCATGAGCCCCACCACTCCGAGAGCCCACAGCCCATATGCCCCGTGTGTATGAGTCCACTAAGCCCAGCAGACAACCCTCCGTCTCTGTGCTGCGGGCACAGCTGCTGCAATGTGAGTTCTATTGTTTGCACATATGGCGATTTTTTTTTTTTATTTCTTTTTAGCCGCGCAGAAGATTAGGATTTAGGAGAAAGCACTGACATTGTCTTTTATGAAATCTACAGAACTGCTGGAATGAATATCTCACCACGAGGATAGAGCAGAACCTGGTACTGAACTGTACCTGTCCCACCACAGACTGCCTGGCGCAGCCCACCTCGGAGTTTATACACAAGATCATCTCCTCCAAGGAGGTGGTCCAGAAGGTACGAGGAAAGCCCAGAACACAGAGCAGATTTGTTCTGATAAAGAAAGTAGAAGTATAAAACATTGTGCAGGACCGGATTTACTCTTCCTGCTGCCCCAAGGCCATTTATTTATCTTATCGTTTACTTTTTTAATAATTTTTTCAATCTTATTTTTTATAATTTATTTTCTTCTTTTTTAATAATTTGCTTATTATTTTTTACTTTTTAATCACTTTTTTTTTTTTATTTCTTTAATATTTTTTTTCCCCACTTAACTTTATTGCTATCACACAGGAGATAACAATCCCCTGTGTGATAGCAATTGGAGGTGACAGGTTCTCTTTATTGACCCTGTCGCCTCCAATACAGGAGTTCTAGCACAGCGCTGTGCTGGAACCCCTGTGACAGCTGAGAGTGGAAGACAGCTCTCCCCTCTCACTGTATACACGGAGCAGCAGGGGGAGGACAGAGCCAGCATGGAAAGAGGGGGGGAGGGCGGACAGGCTGCAAACTTATTACAAGTGATCTCGGTGACATCGCTGAGATCCCCTGTAAATGTACAATCGGCTTCCCTCACACTACATTTACCCCGGCTTGTGCAAAGCAGGACTAAATGTAGAAAGCAACTTACCGCCCGACGCCCGGGACTACATGTTCTGGCCGTCGGGGGATTTCACACCGCTGCCGCCCCGAGGCCTGGCCTTGTGGGGAATCCGGGCCTGACATGACCCAGTGTTCAGCTCGTTCACATAGTCTGCTCAGTGATGAATCCTTCCTGTAAGGAGCAAAGCTCTCCACTCACTTGCTCTCCTTGTATTTTGTAGTATGAGAAAGCTTTGCTTCGTGGATTTGTGGAAAGCTGCTCCAACCTGACCTGGTGCACAAACCCCCAAGGCTGTGACCGCATCCTATGTAAGGAAGGACTGGGGACCGGGGCAACCTGTGCCAAGTGCTCCTGGGTGTCCTGCTTTAACTGCAGCTTTCCAGAGGTAAGCTTCTTCTTCAGAAAGGTTTGTTTGTCTACAAATAGCATGCAGAAGCTCATCTGCTGTAATGTCATTATATTCTGGGCACCCATTGCACCTCACAGGTCACTCTCTGTCCTCTGCCTCGTCTCTGTTACTATAGTAATCTGTACATGTAGGACCTCACAGGTCACTCTCTGCCTCGTCTCTGTTACTATAGTAATCTGTACATGTAGGACCTCACAGGTCACTCTCTGCCTCGTCTCTGTTACTATAGTAATCTGTACATGTAGGACCTCACAGGTCACTCTCTGCCTCGTCTCTGTTACTATAGTAATCTGTACATGTAGGACCTCACAAGTCACTCTCTGCCTCGTCTCTGTTACTATAGTAATCTGTACATGTAGGACCTCACAGGTCACTCTCTGCCTCGTCTCTGTTACTATAGTAATCTGTACATGTAGGACCTCACAAGTCACTCTCTGTCCATATCTGTGACTGTGTTATATTCTGTACCCACATTGTACATGGACCTCACAAGTAACTCTGTCTATTCTGACTCCGATCGTTGTGATAGCGAAATATATCCCTTGCTGAGACCTCTATGCCTGGCCTGTATAAGCAGATATACTCACTGCGGACAATCCTCGTCAGATAGCTGAACTCGTCAATACCGATTCATTCGAAAGAGGTGTTTATTCTTTAACATCAGAGTTACAGCAGATGATAGGAACAGCAGATGAACAGTTATAGTATTGTGCGGTCAAAAGATGATGCCTTTCCTACGTACTGTGCAGATTACATGTGTGTCCTTGTTACATGTGGCTGTTCACTGTGGCCATGACACAGGAAGTACTGCACACAGGAAGAAGGAAGGGGCGTACACTAGGGGGAGATACATCGTCACATGAGGAATAATTACAGAAAGACATGTATATTACAACAAAAGGCCACTAGATGGCAGCATAGGATAACACATAGATTTAGCTATGTGAAAATAGTTAGGCAAACCACACTATATAAATTCTAACCTATATAACAATGCTAATCTTAATTGAGGCTATGCATCTCATATTCTATGCCCCTATTGGGGCGCCACACTCCCCGTCTGGCATGGTAATGCCACTATTTACATCATAACGGTAGTTATGCAAATAAACAATTAATAACTATTAAAGTCCATAAATGTGAACTTGTAACTTGTCCTCTGGACCTGAAAATAAAGAAAGAACATATATCCACAATTCAAATATAAGATAAAATCTGGAACAGTCCTTTCAAGTGCAGTAAGTCACTCC